ACAACTATTAGAAGTAGCTAAAAATATATGATTTGAAGAACAACTAGACACTTATACTCACCTTTAGAAAAATAATTTGGCTTGTCTAACAATGTGAAGACCAAGAAATTAAATATTATATTTAAATAGAGTTTATAGATAAAAAACAAGAAATTCAAAATAGCAAATATTCTTGAAAAGAAGTTTATATCGCAAGTGGCAGCAATGTTTAGAAAGCTTAATATTATATCTCTTAAACAATTTTTAATACAGTTAAAAGATCAGATAATAACTTGGCAGCAACTCAAAATGCTTAGACATCTTTCATGTAAAGATAAAAGTACAAAATAATTTTATATAATAGAAAAAACAATAATCAAAATAAAGAAGATAGAACTATAAAGCCAGAGTATAGAGTAAAAGACCTTAGTTATTAAACACTTCAAATCCTTACTGATCTATTAGAAGCAAATAGAAGAAATAAATAATAGATTTTGATGAAAGTGTCAAAATCAGCAAGAAATGAAGTTCTATTAATTAGAAGAATCATAAGTAAATCAAAGAAAAGATAGCTTACAGAATATTGAAAATCAAGTACAAACCCAAATACAAAAAGCATAATAATGAAAAGATATGAAAGCTATAAACTTGACTAAGAAAAAGAAGAGAACTCTTGTAAAAGCTATATAAGTAGAGAGAGAATTCAAGACTTCATAATAAGATTCATTAATAAACAAAAAGAGAAGTTTTAAAGATTAATTAAGAAATGATATAGTTGATGCAGGTCTCCTTCAAATTGAAGATACTGAAAGGCAAAAAGGTGGTTCAAGAAATTAGAATCTATAGCTTAAATACAAAAATCATTAAGAAACAGCAAATTAGTCAAAAAATGCAAAACTTCTTAATAGAGAAAAATAGAAAATTACAAAAATGCTTACTAATATACAGTAGTTTAATTTTATACTGATAGATCTTTAGAAATAACAGACAACAATCACAGTCAGAATTAGACAGAATAAAAGCAAGCTGGGTGTTAGTAAATAAAAAAGTGAGAAAAGTAATTAATAAAAAATATTTGAAACAAGAAATTGGCTATTTTCAACAAAAGCAGAATTGCTTGGAATTTGGTGCATATTGCTTATTACATCGGACAAAAAGAAAGTCAAAATTTGTACAGATAGTGCAGTAGCTATAACTAAGGTAGAAGGAAAGAAACAGAATAGGCAGACAAAACAATAGCTTAAAGAAGAGAATTATAATCTAGTAAAATACATTTTAGATATATTGTAGTAGAAATAAAAAAAATATGATTTAAATTAAAAAAGGTTAAAGATTCTAATAACAATAGATAAAATAATAGAACAGACAAATTAGAAAATTAGAATCTAAAATAAAAGACAGAAATAAAATTATAGAAAAACCTTCTCAAAAGTTAAATATTACTTTTTGTTAAAAAGAAAAGTAATAAAAGATTTTATAAGAGAGTTTCTATAGATAATTCTCGACCTCAGAATTGGAATAGAATGGAAGTCATCTTTGAGGTAAAATCTGAAGATAGTATACAGACCTAATATTTGCCTATTTATAGAAATAGATCAGAAATCAAAGTAATATACAATATACAAGCTTAAGAAAAAATAAGTGTTTAGATATGTTAGTCAAGTGCTTGCATAAAAAACTGTTAGTATTGAAAATATTATCAGTTAAAAAACTAGAATTATATGATAACTCAGTATATATAATATATGAAAAAGGTAAAAAAGAAGACCAGGAACACTTGATGATATGTGAAAAATACAAGTAAAATAAAAAGAAGCAGAACAGCTAGCCTTAAACATAAATTGAACAGCTTTATCAAAAAAAACTCATAGCTATCTCAACAAATTACAACTCAAAAGAACTTTGTAAGATTTATCAGAGGCTAGCGTACTTAAAGGATTGATTAAAGAAAAGGTTGCAAAAAGAATCCTTGAAGTAATAAGAAATCTGAAAAAACTTAAAAGCTACTTAAATATAGTTATAAACTTAGTTTAAAATTATTTTTATGAAAATATTTGAAAATCAAGATATGCGTATATAAATGATTGAAAAAAAAAGAAAAAAAAATGTTTAAAAGAAAAGAAAAGAAAAAGCTATAATTTAAAGAAGCTGAATCTTAACAGTAAAGAAAAAAATCAATTCTAATAGGATAAAGTAGTTAAGATTAAACCAAGAGAAAAGGTAAAAAGAAAGAAAATAATAAAAATAAAAAAAAGAGTAAAAAAAAAAATATTTGATTTGAGGCTATTAAAAATTTTATTAAAAGTAAAATGAAGCTATTTTAGTATAGCTTCACAGGCTAGCTTGGTACAGCTCTTTAGTGCAAACAAAATGCTTCAACTAATGAGACAAACTGTTTTTGAGTGCCTATTAAGATAGCTAAGAAATGTTAAATTTGTAGCTTAGATAATTAAATATATATATGTATATGCTTTAATTTAATAAAGATACTAATAAAGCTGCTAATAAAGAAAAAAAATATATATAGTATATGCATTATTTTATATTATCTGAAACACATATAATTGTTATTTGTTACTTGATCATCTAGTTTACTAACAAAAACAATTACAGAATATACTAAACAAGATCTTGCTTTACTGTTCATATAGTTTTCAGCTGGTTTCTAACATTGCTAACATCAGAAAATTTTAAAGCCTGATTATAAACAATTACAAAACAGTTAATCAGTTATAATTGATTGGCTTTAAGTGATTATAACTGATGGTGACGTTGATAATTAATTCATATTAAAATTGATAATAATCATTAATAATAAAAATCAATATAATTTAAAAGATTATAATTGATAGCAATAATTTACAGTATATCAATTATAATTGATAAAAATCTAATTGGTTTTAATTAACAGTGGTAATAAAAATCATTTAAAATCCTTAAATTTTAATTGATTATAATTTAATTTTAAATTTTTCTGATAAAACCAGTTTTATATTTACCTTTCTTTCTTTGATATTTGAACTATACAGTTAGGTTATCAAAGTACTAACTTTCAATATTCAGGCTGAACACCTGAGCTATTGACCTCACCTGCTAAACTTCTGTCAAACTAGCAGCAAAGACAAAAAAAAAAAAATTCAAATTCCATTCCTCCCTTTATATAACCCTTCCATGACCTCATACTTACCACCACTTAATCAATCAAACGATGCTCATCACCAATACCTCATAATTACCATCGCTCAATACATCATACTTACCATCGCTCAATACATCATACTTACCATCGCTCAATACCAAACGATCTACAAATCGTCACCTGTCGTCATGGGACTAGGTTGTGATCTCGTGACAAATGGATGGCCCGTGACTTCGTTCACGGCATCTCATTTTACAGCTATTTTCATAATTCCTGGAACATCGAATAAAAATTGACTGAATGATGTTCCGGCCGATTCGATTAAGTTTGTAATTATTATGAAACTAGTACGTATAATACGTATGTATGGGCGAAAATTTTAGGTATGTCAACAAAATTGTCGGCGACGTGATATTGTCGTGCCTGTTGGAACTTCAGGTGCTTTGAAGTTGCACTAACTAAATTAGGCCTGAAATTAGATCATCTTGCAAGCACTAGCGGTTTTAGGCAGGTGCACCACTACGAATAATAAAAATATATTGCGCAGCACAATCAAATACAAAATGAACGGTTTCACAAGCTATTTATAAAATTCATACATTCAATTTTATTATATTTTTAAGATTTAATACCAGTAATTTCGCATCGCATAAATGAGAATGAATTATTTATTTTTAATAATCGCAAAAATCAAAAAAGAATCCGCCTATACGAAAAAGATGCAATTTTCACAATAACGTTTACAAATGTTATTTTGGTAAGTTAAAATTTTTTTATTGAGTAGATACGAGTTACGGTAACAAAAAAAAAACCTGTAAATTGGAAGTCTAAGTTGTTTGCACATATGAATGATCTGTGAAAACCTGTAATCGTGCTTTTTGAATATTTACATTTAAAAAAATATTTTAAAATCATATAACCATTATTATTTTTAGTTTCATTTGAATCACCTTAATATGACGATTCGAAGAACGTTAAAATCAAGTATTCAATTACTTTGCTTTTTAAGATTTCTATTAAAAATAATAAATAACCAAAAAGCATAATTTACAGGTTTTTACAGATCATCACTCATATTTTAAATGAAGGTATAATTTTTTTATAATGTTTTATGATTCACCATTGTATAATTTTGGAATGATATTTCTAATACTGTAATAGTGTATAACTGAACAATATAATTTATCATGCATTTTAGGGATAAAATTGGGTTTGTGCTTATCGTTATCAGACATAGCACTGAGTTAGAATTCATTGATGTCATGATGATGCCTTATACTATCTATTAAAATGGCCTATCGTACACAGGCATAAAAAAAAAAAAAACAAAAAAAAAAAAAAAAAAGAGAAATGGGAATGAAATTTAAAAATTTAAATATTTCATTCTCGACAATAATTGCATTTCTTATAATTCTTGGATTTATAATTGCAACGATTGTCTCGATAGTAATCTTTCGTGAAAAAAATTGGCTAAAATTCAATATTGTGGGGTTTGGTGATTCCTTAACAGATAATGGAAATCAATGGGGAGTTACTGATAGAGAAATGCCACCCGCTAGTTTGTATTATAAAGGTATTATTGGTGTCATTTTTTGAGGATGCTGAGAATCTTGAGAATTATCTTTTTTTTTTTTGATTATAGGAAGGTGGTCAAATGGTCTAATATGGGTGGATTTTGTGGAATCTATCTTAAATGCGAAATTGACAAACCGAGCTTTTGGTGGTGCAACAACCAATAAGTCATTGATCTCTCGGTGTTCCTTTGATAATAATAATAATGTGCCTTCTGTACAAGAACAAGGTATCTTGCATACTTTTTAAATTTATTTGTTAGGCAGAATTATTAATAATTTTCAATTTTATGTTCTTTGAAGTTGAAGAAATGTCGGCAAACGTATCTAGTTTTCCTCCTCAAACTACATTTGTTATTTGGACTGGTGTCTGTGACTATATGGTAATGCATTTATATATGAATTATATGAAGGTCGATCGATACTCAAGTTTTTTGTTTTTTTTTACACAACCAGACAATATTTGAAAGGAATCTTACTATCACATCTGAAGACATAATATCATCGATTCATAACTCTATAAATCTTCTTATATCAACAGGAGTTCATAAATTTTTACTTTTAAACTTGCCACCAATAAACCGTGCACCGCGATATACAAATTACACTAATCTTACAATCCTACAAAATCTCATCGAAACCCATAACGTTCTATTAAATGAAACAGTTATTGAAGTAAAAAAACAACAGCGAATTCGGGCAGGTGTTTTTGACGTTTGGGGATTAACCGAATATGTTATACAAGATCCACAAAGATATGGATTCTCAAATGTCGTGGATTCTTGCATACAACCAAATTCAAATAATACTTGTGGGAATCCTGATGAATATTTGTGGTGGGATAATATTCATCCTACAACCGTAGCACATAGTTTGTTAGCGTCACGAATTGTCACTTATTTGAAATCACCCGATGGATCTTGCCTGTATTTAACGAATTGTGGATTAGAAAGAAAGAAAATTTAGCATTTAGCAATATTTTTTTCATTACATTCACGTTATCAATTAAATCACATAATTTGTAAGATGCAATCTTAAATTTTTCTATTCTTTAAAATTTTTATTTGTGAGATTTAAACATATTCGATTTACAATTGCTATATACGTAGTAGAGTATATTTTAATAATTTTCTGTACAAGAGTCACCAAGGTGACCCGTATAACATCTATTAATCTATGGCTATGGCTGACCGAATGATATCAATTAGTTACCGCATTAGTATGAATGGTACTTCAGATTAAGACCTAAGTATATATTTCTATATCATTGCTTGAAACTCTTGGCGATAGTGAAATGGTGGCACCCAAAATTTTGATATTTAAATTTCCGAACTTTAAATAATTAATTAATAACACATGATCAAAAGATGGTACGTACGTACGTATAATTGATTATTTAATTAAAAGGCCCGCATTTATTGTATAAAAATTGTATTTTTAGACTTCTGGTTTTCACCCGGCGGCATTCGGTGGTTGTGTTTAGTTCATGCTAAATAACGATAATGCCCATTTTTTAAAATTACATTGAGTCAAATTCGTACGTACGTGATAACTGGAATAGTTGAGTTACCCGGGTTATTCGAGTTATTACTAATGACCCGTTTTGTGACTTAGTAATAATCTTGTAAACATGTGAAACCCGGTACTTAAATTTTTAGTCGAGTCCAATATATAAAAATCTGTATATAACTGATAATTTATTTTTGCTACGTAACAAAAAAAGTTTTGATACGTACGTACGTATCATACTCGAATACTAGTATTTTGGTAATACTTACTCTATACAAAAAGCTTATTCACGATTCTAAGAAAGTATGATTAAAAGTAGCACTGTATATACTGTAACAATATGAATCTGATTATTGGATGAACCAACCAAGGTCCTCTCGAAGTTTCCGAAATTTGGGGTTATATGATATATGTACGTACGTACGTACATCATGTGGCCCTAACTTTGGGGTGGCCGCCCTGGCTAATTCGTTATTAGGTAATCAATTACGTATACGTACGTACTATATCTTCGATAACTACTGTATACAGTAATATACCGATACTGTTGTAAGATTATAGATGATGCATCATACGTATAAGTTTATAAAATTAATTTTGCAGTGTGAAAATTAAAAAACTCATCTGACGTTAACTTCCGGACTTAATTAGTTTGCTCGAATTTCAAGCTCGAATAGAATATTTTTTTAAAATTCATTGCCATTATTATTAACTCTTCGCTCAATATAATAAAGTTTATATAGTATTCTCTCGATATAAGCTATAGTGAAGATTTTTTTTCTCAACCCGATCACTTCATTATAACGAGAGTGACTTGTATAATACTGTAATATTAATCTGAATCGTCGGATTGAATTCCAGAAGCTCGGGTTACACGAAAAAGCAAAATTAATTCTAGCTTAGGTAATGGGGATAAATTTAAGAGCAAATTACAAAAAAAAAATGCAAAAACACCGTTTCTGATAGGGTTTTAAAAAAGAGCCTCTAAGATACTATACTACTATAGTACAGTAGTGAAGTATATGAAAAAAAAGGTAGGTTCGTTTTTAAAAATCTCGTCAGGAACAGCATTCAAATAAATTTTTTTTAACTCCTACTGCCGATCCATCAGGAATAGTAATTTGCCAAAAAATAGATCAAAAAAATTTTTAGTGTTCAAGCTTGGATGCTAGACGGTTTAAGGTATAATACTGTATATAATTTGGATTTGGATAGCAAGTATAATTAGTAATATAACTTATATTTAATAATAATAAAATTTTTTTAATGAAATTAACAAAATGTACATTGAAGATTGTTTACCAAAACAATAGTTATGTGGTTTGTACGTACGTACGTACTTTATAAAATTGGGAATCAATGTGCAAGTATTCAAGTATTCAGGTATTCAAGTATTCATAATATTTACCAAATAAATTTTTATTTGCCATTTTCAACCATTTCGGAAACAGCGATAATACAGAAAATATATTTAGAATTAAATTTAAGATTAGAAATTAGTTTTAAATTAGAGTAAAAAAAGATCTATTTATATTATACGTATATATACAATGTATATATTTATTACTAAAGCTTTTGCTTAAAAGTATAGTTATACGTATAAAATCTAACAATCTAATTGAGTTTTATACGTAGAGTAAAAATTAAAGTTTTTTGGTTATTCATGTTGGACATTACATGTAAATATTCATGCACATTTGACTTTAGCCGACAACTTTAATAAATTTTATATCCCATCATTTAATACGTATTGTGATGATGGGCTTAGTATACGTACTACGTATACATATAGATATATATATAGTAAAACATTAATTTTTAGTTAAATCCAGTCACGTGTTTTTTGTTTTTAATTAATTTAGGGTAAGGGTTAGTTTGGAGTTAGGGTCAGGGCATGTCTTATA